CCCCAAAACCCCAAAACCCCAAAACCCCAGACACTAGAGATCTAATTTATATCATTGTAATTTATCTAATCTCAAAATTCTCATAAAATTGATAGTGAATTATTCATTTTTAATGAGTATAAGCCATCACTATGTATAAAGGTTACCCATTTATACATGCACTAGAAGTTTTCGTTTTGGCTTGCTTATAACAGCTTTAATATTGCTAGTCTGACTTTATTCATCCTTTTAAAGGTTTGTATTGTTGTACAAAAGATTGTAAAGAGAGTGTCTTTGTGTTTAATTCCCCAAAAAGTTATTCGTAGGATTGCTATCATACTTGTTATGGGCAGCTTGTAGCAAGTTCGCTACACTTTTGGTCGAGCTCTTATTTCTTACTCTGAATTAGGTCTAACTAGAGCGTATTTTCCTGCTCATTAAAATATTTTTGGCTGCATCTGGAGTTACAGTTCTTATTGTAAATGCAGTTTGAGGCTTAGCATAAGGCAAGAGATCAGCGTTGATTATCTCTATTGATTTTTTATTTTTAGATTTTTTGGGAGTACGAATATTTACATATGCTTTCAGCACATTGCTCTTCATCTATTCCTAAAGTGATGGTCTGAGATGTTTATTGTTATTTGGATCTTCATTTTTTATCAATAGACCTTTCAAGTTATGTATTCTTGCATAAGTAGAAAGAGGAGTTGATAATGATTAATAGTTAGTTGTCCGAAAGCTAGAAGACCTTTTTAATGATTCTAAATTTAATAGTTTAGTCGGTGCCAATTTATAGAGCTCATAACGCTTCTTTTCTAGTAGTAATTCCCTCTGTTTTTGTGCTCATTCTAACCTCTTTTACTCTAATAATTCTCTTTATGAACTTGCAAGAGATGAGACTCTTGAGTGGCTGCTATCATCATTTGAATTCTCATCTAAGTTGCTAAATCTATTTGTTTTTTTCTTCATAATTTCAGGCTGCTTCTCCAGTGGATTTACTTTAAGATGAACTGTTTTTCTTTCAACTCTTAGATATTCCTGTTTTAACTTGGATCTTAAGGGTGAGTCGAGAAGTGGTTCTCTATTTCTATGAGCCACAGATTACCGACGTCTATCAATTAATTATAAAGTTATGGGAAAATTTACGGTGATGTCAACTTTAGTCTGTTATTAGAATTCTATCTGGGATTTAGTCCTCCTCCATCTTAATTTCCAAATAACTATCCTTGCTTAATAGGAGTAGAGGGCCTCTTAAACGCTATAAAATCACCTCTATATATTTTGAGATAAATTTTAACAAATATTTTACTTGTGGTGTATGGCTCTTGCACCGCAGAATCGTAGACACTAGCAAGATTGCCTTCTCATCATTAAATCTCTTTCATCAAACATAAATTATCTTCTATTGCCAGTCTTACTTGAAAAACCAGGATCTGAGTGAGTGTCATTGATTAAATTTGCTTATTTTTTTAAGTTTAATAATTTTTTATCCAGATTACTCTTGCCTATCGGATGTTTGACTTTATCTATTGGTGTTATTTAGGAAGAGATTGAGTAATCCTAAGATTTCAAAGCCTTCTGCATCATTTGTTTCTTCTTTCTAAATGTGTTTGACGTTGAAAATTTCTCAACATCAATTTCATTATGCTTTTGCATTCTTTTCTATTGAAAATAATTGTAAGGAATTTCAGGAGCATAAAAGTTAATCATGTCGTTCATCAATTTTTTCCAAGACAGTCTATTCTCATTGAATCTCATTTAAGGCATTCCCACAAATATAGGACCTATAGCATTTGTAAATTCTAAATTTTTTTCAGATAATTTTCTTAATATAATAACTTCAATTACCTGTAGCATATAGTGAAGAGAGATATCTATCTAATTCAATCTCTTTGGCATTGCTTCCATCAATTTCAAGTGTCTATTGTAAGAAAATTAACACCAATATTACTTGTTTTCACAAATGAATCTTAAATATAACTGCTTACCTTAATTTTCTAATGATCTTTTCTGTTCTGGTGAGTCTCCATAAGCTATCGGTTAAAATTCTTTTCAAGTCGTTCATTCAATCGCTGTTGATTCATGTTGCTCTCCTAATTATAGCTCTCCACCTTTATGTTGTGCTGAGAAATTTTACCCTTAATTAGTAATTTTCTACTTAGCTGAGAGGTATTGGAAGGGTCTAAACTTGATTCACGTTTATTTATAGCTTTTATATTAGACCCGAGAAGATGAATCATCTGAGGCTTGGATGCTTGAGAAGACTAAGAGGGTGATACTATGCTTTATATTTTCATTAAATGGGTTTATTTAATGTTTTATCATTCAGATTAAACTTATTTCATTCAATATAGTGCGATCTTAATACTTGGGGTTTTGGGGTTTTGGGGTTTTGGGG